AATGGTTTCAGACAATGAGCTGGAGAGTTCTGAAGTGGCCAGCAATGAGTCCAGACCTAAATCCCATAGAGCTCCAGTGGAGAGATCTCAGAACAGCAGCTGGAGAAGGAAGCCTTCAAATCTGAGAGACCTGGAGCAGTTGGCAAAAGAAGAGTGGACCAAAACCCCAGGAGAGAGGTGGAAGAAACTCCCTGATGGTTACAGGAAGTGATTTCAGATATTTTGTCCACAGGGTGTGCTGCCAAGTATTAAGTTTAGGGTGTCAGTAATTCTGTTCAGTCCATATTTGGAGTTTGTGTGGAATGTATCGGATTTGACTTTTTATCTCTGCTTTTTTGTGTCGTTCCAATGTAAACAAAAGAAATAAACAGAATACCAAAGAATTTGTGACTGAAACTATTTTCTGGGAAAAGTGGTGGCCTTTGGGACAGACTCTAGTGAGTCTGACTTGACTGATCTCAGGCTCCCATAAACTAAAGGTCAGTTGTCTTGACCCCACGTGTCCCTGAGAGCAGAAAAAAAACTAAGATGAAGAACAGAAGCCCAACTAGCAAAAAAAAAAAAGAGCTGTACAGTAGGTAGAAATCTGTCAGTGGACTTTTTGGAAATCCATTTATTTCAGGTCAAGTGAGGTCAGTCATACCACTCCTGAACCCCAGCCAAAAATAGAAATTACTTAGCTTAGACTTGGCCCATTGCCTGACAGGACTGTCCGAGCACAGCAGCTGAAGTCAGTGGTTCTGCAGTCCTTCAGCATATATTTTCTTAGATGATGGAACACTGAGATGTTTTATCTCACAGACATGAGATGATTGCAAAGGCACTAACTCACTCTCACAGGTAAAATGTGATTAGACATGTAGTCTATGCAGTGGAGATAATGAATTGGGCCTGACCTGATCTCTGGCAGACATATTGTTGCCTTGTATGTATCCTTGGTTCTGTGCCTTCCACTGTAAAACTAAATATAAGCAGCCGACTAAAGTAGTGTCAAGCCATTTATCACAAACACACTAGCTGTTTGTAGATCCTGTATTCCAGCTTGTTTTTCATTTTCTCCCCCTAAGAAGAGAGGTCAACATCAGGCTCAGAGATGAGAAGTAACCCTCAGCAGCTGAGTTTAGGCAGTTTGCAGTCACTAGACATTTTATAGCTGTTGAACTAACATTTAATACTGTCAAAAGAAATGTTACAAATGTTTTGTTGCATCACATACTTAAATAGGAGTCCTCAAGTGAATTAAAAGAGTTGATTTTGAGACCTTTAGTGAATTATTTCTGTACTAAACATCTGCTGCCTTTCCACCTCGGTTAGCCAATCTCCAAATAAACACTACTGTATGACGATGGGGTATTTTCCCTCAAGGCCTGCCTTACTTTAGTTTTGACCCAGAGCTTGTCTAAAATTGTCCAACATAAATATCTTAAACGAATGTGTAGCATAAAATAGAAAATTGTGTTGTTGGTCAAAGCAGCTGTTCAAGTCCAGAATCAGAACGCTTGGTAGCTCTAAGTCTGAATGATAAAGACTAAGAAAGACTTGAAAGTGATAACGGCATATAAACTAACAATTTCATTTAAAGAGTATATACAATAAAAATAATAGCTGGTATAAATATAGCACAATAGACTATGAAACTGACCTTCTGTTTTTGAACTACTTCCACTGTTCCCACAGCTGATGGAAAAGCACAAATAAATATCTGAATACTCGTCAGACACAGATCAAGTTTCAACTACAGCCAACACAATTAGTTCATCAAAACACAATTATTGTGCAATACTTCTAATAAATGAAATCTTGTTAACTGTGCGTCATGTTTCAAGCAACATCTAGTTCAAATGTGAGAAGTGTTGTGTTATGTGACAGTAACCTGATTATCTTTGGGTTTAGGAAAAGAGACAGAGAGAGAGAGAGACAAAAGGAAATATTTGTCACTATTGTGTTTTTGTTTCCACTTCTTTTAGATGTTTTAGAGACAAAATACTCAGTCATGACAATGACAGGTATCATCTAAGACTTCCACCAGAAGCATCTTCTCACTGTTCTCATATTTATAAACCTGGAGTGCATCACTCAGCCGCGGAGACAGAGAGAGGGAGCGTCATTGGCAGTTGGATGGTGGAAATGGAGGTTGAGTGTGTTGAAGCTGCTGCGAAAGCCACCGCCGAGTGTCTCTCTTCTTTCATACAAAGAGCCTTTCCCACTTTCTCTGTCTGACACATGCACACACACACACCCAGAGCAAGCATTACATCATATTATGACTGTGACATGGGAGGACTGCCTGTTTGTGGGTGTTTGTGTGGCTGACCAGCTGAGTAAGTATCTTCACAGGAATCAGGATTAGGTTGTCTCACCGACTCACAGGGCATAGTTGAAGCTGACCTACAGTGCAGGGCACCGCACATGATCGGCAGCTGGCCTGCTGCAGTGCTGCCTACTGCACCGGAGCTGGCACCTCGGCCTGGACTGCCCACTCTGGCGTGCGACTGTACCAACCTCAGTGAAAATAATCAGTTCAGTAAATGTTTCCTTTACATTCCCACCCAAGACGCTGTAGCAGTCATCTTTCACTGGTCATAACAGAATGTCTCACAGTTTAAGCTTAGCCCATTCAATCCTACCACTTTTTTTTAGCACATTTCATGCACAGACATAATTAGGAAGATAGGAATGCAGTTACACAGCATTATGGCACAACAGAGAGTGCATTAGGAAAAGCAACACACATGGTCGGACAACAAATTCCCAGGTTAGCCTAACTATCTAAATGATCTTATCGTGAGCTGAAAACAAAGATGAATGTTACATTTATAACCCAAACTATCCAGCATCTATTTTCAGGAGATCTTCGTTGCAGTGGGCAGGTGCTTTCTCTTCACTGTGTGAAGCTATGTCTTCCTGTGCTGCTTTCTATATCTCAGCAATGCAGTTTGTAAGTATAGTATCATAACAAAATGAGGGCCTGTGGAAGTCTACCCTGCTGGTCGTCTAAAATGCCGCTACAAGGCAGAGTCCATGAATCCCTGGCCTTCACTGGGTGCTGCTCAAATAACCAATTGGATTTCAGGTTCTGTTTTATAAGCGCTGAATGTTTTGGGACTGCTCTCCCTTTCTGAGCTGCTCTGACCCTACTCCACTTTCAGGTTACCTCAGTCTTGCCAGCTACAACCCAAGGGACTTGTTCAGTTTTGAGACTGCAGAATAGGTATTCCCTTATGTTCTGTTCTAAAATCCTGTCTTTTAGCTTCGGCTTGTTGAGAATAAACTGTGAGAATAAACTCTTGATATGTCTTATGTGTTCTATGTATAAATCCATATCTCCTGGACAAAACTAACTGCACCATTGGCTTTATTATTGTCAGGCACAGAGCACACTAACTTAAACTAAACCCCCAGGCTATGCTAGACAAACACCTCATGTCTAAGTTATTGACAAAAACCCCATCGTGTACATTTGTAGTCATCCACACCATTAATGTACCTACCCACTGCTCTGATTCATCGTCTGGCTGCCCGATCCGATATCCGACCGACTGACAGGCTTTTAATCCAACCGTCTACTGTATCAACCATACAGACAGCAATTCATTAGGCCAGGGACAGACCGCCCAGACGTCACCTTGACACAGACACTTTCAGCTGATGTCTCCTTCCCCGAACACTCACATACTATCTAATTACTTACCTAAATCAGTTTGTAATTTCTATTATGTGCTGTCAAAATTACTTTAAGGATGAGGTTTTTGCTTCTAACTCATCTTCTATCCATGAGAAGGGAACAGGTACAAAATGGCCAGCACCACCCATCTCAGAGGTCCACGTCCCCTCTTAAGGCCTTACCACACACATCAGTAAACCTGCCCACCTTGTGAGTCGCACTGAGTTTCACAAATATCTCATATTCAGCACTAAAAAGCAGTAAACACATAAACATACAGTGTGACAAATTATTTTTAAATAAAAGGAGGGCTGTGATGGGTTGCAGAAAAATTATGACCTAAAAAAATAAAAACAGACAACACATTTCCATGTTTCAGCACAACAAGCTCCATCTCCCAGTTGTTTGCTCATAGCCTCTCCTCTGCCCTTCCTTACATTTGGGCCAGAAGCATGTAAAGGGCAAACAACTGTCAATATACAGCCCTGTTCCTGCACTTAACAGTTACAGCAGGCAACCCTGGACCTCCTGAAAGATGAGCCCACATTTTTAGCAAGGAGGAGCTCCAAGCAGCCTGCCTGCCTGACCACTTACGACTCCAAGCATCCCAGCCTTATCAGGCATTTAAATATATCTGCACACACTGTAGTAAGTGGACTCGACAGAGGGGAATCAATAACCAGTCCCTGAGGCCAGACTGAAACCTGCATGTACTGTTAAAGACTTCTATTATGTACGAGCTCACTATATAATATTGGTTCAGTATGAGATAAAGGATCTCTGAGGTGTAACAGCTGAGACTCATTTGGCTGCTGTGCTGGGTTTCCTGTTGAAGCAGGGGTTCAGTGGAGAGATCAAGTCTTAATGATGCCTGTTTTCACATTGGATTTTAAATGGAATGAACAATATGAATGCAGCCATTAAATATGATTATTTTACATAAATTGACATGTTACTGATGACAATAACAAACATGCACATAATAGAATTTACTGGTGTGATCAACCAGAGATGGGCCAATATGACTCAGCACCTGTAATGCACCCCTCTCTCATTCTCTCTCACTAGGCATTATTAGTTTTCTAGGGGGAATTCTTATTTATTCTTACTTTAACCTTTTGTTATAGCTTTCTACAATGTGTTACGGGCATTACAACTGCGTGATGGCCGTGCACTGCCACCGCAGCAAGGCGAGCTCCCGCAGTGAACGCAATAGGTAAAAGCCTTTATGTAGCACAATGCAGACATCATCCTTTCAACTCGTCAAGAAAACGAGCATTCAAGTGGAAATGGTCCAATAATAAACAGTGCAATTGAGTCAACGATTCCATCTTACCCGTTTGACAGATGTGCTGCTGCTCAGTGATTTCATACCGTATTAATTCCTTAACACTGCTCATTTAACGTGGCTGACAACACAGCTGGGCTATCACACCCAGACCAGGTTCTCCTGTAGAACAATGCATCCTCTCTCCATCCACACAGAGAGGGGCTCCTCATCATTTCAGCCTCACTGCTTGCTGAGACGTCAATTCACTGTTGGGTGTAGAGAGTGTCTCTCACCGCCAACATCACATGCTGGTTTTGAGTCATTGTCATTTGTACACATTCGTTTGTATTAGAATACTTTTATAAAAAAAATAACATTTTTTTTAAGTGTAATATTTTCCTACCTGTCCGGCGCAAGTGTCTTTCCGTACTGCTGTGGGTCTGTCGGACACAGACAGGCTCCACGGGCTCCATGTACCGTAATGACTATAGTAGTCACTCCGGTAGACTGTAGCTGAGCATTAGCTGGTGATTTACGGTGTTGTGCTCCACCCATTTACCAGAAATTACGACAAAACTGTAGTCTTCATCTTGGAGGGACCTAAACGCAATAGTTCCATAAATGTAACTAACTTTATTTACTGCTCGTCGCAGCAGGAGAACTGACTGTCTGTTGTCTGACCCAACTTTCTGCAAATCTGTGAAACAATATAATAAAAATGTGCTGGCCTCATGCTGGCCATTAAAAGTTACAATGCACCCAGTATGTCTCATTTTTGACCATGAAACTTAATGAAGACCTCGGATGTTGGCATACAAATATCAGCTAGAATCTACTTGGACTCCCACCCCCTTGTCAAAATTAGGTGGTGTCTAAACAAACTAGGATTTAAATTAAATAAAATTAAAGAAATATAATCTGAACAAAGGTGTTTTTGGGGTGAAAGTGTCTCAGAGCTGCTGACATTAAACTATGAAATACATACCAAAGATCCTGCATAAACTGTTCAAAAAACAAACAACCAAAATACAAACGGGTGTAGCATTTAGAGCATGTGGCTTGTGCCTTGGATGGTTTGTGCACACTGCTGCACTGGCGATACTGTATACATAAATACATTCATACATACAATACATACACAGAAACACAAACCCAAGGCTTCTAAAAGGAGCAACAAGGCCCCCATGTGGTCTTTACAGGTTATGTTTACCTGCCATCAGGATCAAACAAAGGAAATCTGGAGCCTCACACAGGTGTGGCTGGGCACAATCAGGGTGGACCCGAGCTGGACAGGCGACGCTGCTGGCTCTCTCACTTTTCATGGGAAGATCAGAAGGTGTCATACTGGTCACAGCTCCTCAAGAGAGAAGCAACTGGCCAGAGCGGACTAAGCTTGGTGATTGCCAGCTTCATTTTCTTTTTTTAATCCAAAAACAAAAGAAGGAAACAAGGGAAAACAGTGCATCTGTTCATATAACACTGTATGTTGGCAACTTTGCATGTCATTTTCCCCATACATATGCTTTTAGAAAACCCAGGAAATACAGTCGCAAGAAAAGGGGTGTGTTCACTAAAGACATGAAAGATCATGTTATTACTCTTTCTTTCAACTGTACATAGCCTATATTATAATATCAAGGAGGGGAACTTGTTAAAGAAGGAATCATCCATCCATTATCTATACAGCTCATCCTAACAAGGGTCGAGGCGGAGCTGGAGCCAATCCCAGCTGGCACTGGGCAAGATGTGGGGTACACCCTGGACAGCTCATCGGTCTATAAGAACAACCAAATCCTACCCCCCCTTTATGAGTAAGCTTCTAATTCTGTGCTTCCAGCCCAGTTATTTGTGGTCTAAAGACACTGAGACACATATGTGTAAATGACAAATAACTTTGATCACCATCTGCTAGTTAGGCCTTCTGGTAGCTGTGAAGGAGGTTACAAGAGGAGGACATGCTTGTGCAATCAAAGTATGAGCTGCAGCATTGGGACTACAGCCATAAATAGATATGACCTCCATAAATATTAATCATCTGAATCAGTGAAATGCCCTCATATTACTTTGTCCTTCCAGTATTTGCTTTTATCACTGACATCTTAAGTACACTGGGCAGAAGTTGCAGACATATTTCATGTGACTTAGATAAAAACTATTGGGCTTCCGATTAGTCCGATGTTTTACTTCAAATGGCATGTAAGGTTTGACAATAATATGCTGCCTTATATTTTCAGACTATTTACATAAAACCCGTTTGTTAAAATCAGCAGCTTCTCACACTGCCGGTTTTAACAATAATGTTCTTCTGCCCCTGTGTGACCCATGTACTGGTCGCCTGTGGATTACTAAAAAGAAAATTGTTTGCAGAATATAACTTTTGTTTTCATAAAACACAGTACATCTAAACTGCAGCATCAACAAAAACATGAAATCACAAAGCACAATGAAATCAGATAAAAGTTTATATTACATATATATAGAATACACACACTAAAATCAATCTGTGAAGACAACTGTAGAAATAAATAGCATGTGACAACTATAATCGATACATAAACCTGAGACTACAGTGGATTGTGCTGGTATATATTTCTTTACATTAAGTACCTCTTGTTCATTAAAACCTGAAAATGCAGCAGGAGCTACAGTAGTCAGTTAAAAATACATGTGGCAGTACTCACAAAATAAAGACTTTTGCTGTGAAGTATTAAGATTAAAACGCTGTTACTATAATCATATGAAGTATTACTGTAGGTATCCCAGTAAAGGCTGCCAGGGGACACTTTCTCTTCATGGCTCCAGACACAAGGAGATCTGGAGAATAAACGATACAATTAACAATTTAATTGCCAAATACAACATATCAAGGTCATAACTGTCAAAAACACTCTTATTTGTTGGCTTAGTTTTACCGAGAGCTGATGACTGTATGAATAAGTTAATTTAGTACCTCCTTCCATTCGTTCTTACTCACCTACCTTCACAAATTAGAAATTATTCAGAATAAATTAATTAATGGCTAATGTGCCATTCAATCAGGAATCCATTTGCAAATAGAAAAAAACATTTTTCCCATAAATGAGTTATTAGATCTATAAGTGAACGCATGGGTGACTGAATGAATGAATGACTAAAATGATTTGACAAAATCATTTACTAAGCTGACTTGTGAATAGAAGGAACACATTAAAAAATGTCTTGGTGGATTTGTAAACTGCGTTATAAATAAATGTATGAATACTGACCTAACTTTAAAAAACAAAAAGATATGATTTAATTAAAGTCTTGCCAAATGAACAATTTAAAAATCTGTTAACATCTAACCAAATGAAATATCTAACAGTTACATCCCAAAAGCTCTTGTGCACAGTCTTGCACTACAGCAGTTGTAAGTACTACACATGCACATACTATTATACAGGAAATTTACTATACATTTCCCCACTCACATGAAAAAAGGCACTGCTCCCTCAGCTGTGACCGGGTGTAACACCCCGGCCTTGTCCACCAGAGGGCAGTGTGGCACCAGAAGTCTGAGCTAGGGAGAGTTGGGAGTTATTTGAGGTGGAGGATGAGGAACTAGACTCGGACTGCCCCGATGAGATTTTTTCTAACTGATCAGAAAGCAGGGCTTCTTCCTCATCCAAAGGAAACACTCGTGGCTCCCAGGGTGTCTGAGGCTGCAGGAGGACAGATTATATGTGATTGAACAAATATATTTTACAAGGTGGCATATTATTGTATCTTAGAACTCATCTTAGTTTAGCAGGTACTTTATGTACAACTTTCTATAGACTCAGGGATGAGAATGTAACTCTTTTATCCAATACATTAAATATGTAGTGACCCCTACATTTGCTTAAAAGATCATACCGGTACTGAAATAATGTTCTGATCCTGATAATTGCTATTCCCATAGCAGTTCCCTTAACTGAATTTGGAAGGCTGTGTCATAGCTGTGCATGGTTCAAATGCCTGTTTAAAATAAATAAATAAATCAGTCAAAGATTGTGCTTTAATTGGGATTTGTATGGTTGCTGGAAGATAAGAAGTGCAAAGCAATGAAGCAGGGGACTATTTGCCCTGTTGAGAAGGTTGATTAGGACAGTCTGGTTTAGTAGTGACTCAGTCCTCTTCCAATCAAAGTGAAGTGCACAGAGCTCTGCAATCAGAGCATCATCAGCTGAAGAAAGAGTGGGATGAATATCTTTGTAGGCTTTCAAGTATCATCTAGGTTTTATAACACACCAAATAAGAATGGGAAAAGGCTACTGATTAATGTGCAGTTCATTCTGTCCCCCTGGATTCCTCTGTTCTTTGATGAAGCACAAACACCACAGCTCTATCTTTGATTTGAACATTACAGAAAATATCGGTCATGTTTAGGGGTTGAAAATAAAAAATTTTACCTCACCTTTTTTCATCAACTTATTTTCCTTTCCTGGCTTTTTTTTATCCAAAATTTCAGTTATTTTTTCACTGGAGTTTATTTTATAACATTGCGTGATGTAATATGTTATGCGTCTCACTGCTTAATAATTTATGTTTGTTGCAATTTTTTTGTCTTTGACTTGTGGCCACCACACTGGCAACACTGCTTTTGAAAGCATCAAAACATGGAGAGCCAACAGAAAACCGCTGTGTACAACTCAGTGCCAGTTCTCCACTATAGCACCTGGATCAGCATACTCTAATAATCTAGGTTTGTTTGGGGAATTTTGGATTTCAGCTGTGTTGCTTTTGATCTTACCAGCTGCTCCTCCGAGCCTGGCTGTTCATCAGTATCCAGCAGAGCGGCGCTCCATTCCACTGAACTCTCCTCTCCTGACGTGCACATCCCGCCCCCACTGCCTGACAACCTGCTGCCAGACCTGGAGTGGAAAAAAAAACAAAAAAAAAACATCCATACCCCATGAAACTGCAGTGAAGAAATGCCACAACATTCCACTTTCACATGGGTTATACTGACATGCACAGAGATGAACAAACCACATCTGCAGCAGCCGCGCACTGCACAGTCTTTGTGAATTCAGGATGCATGTCTTTGCTGTGACCTTTTGGCAGAAGCGTCAAATATGACAAATACTGCCCAAACATATCCAGTATTTGAGAAAAACCCATTTGACACATTTAATTCAAGAAATTCATTTTGGTGTCACATGATAAAACAGTACTTCAACAATTTTCAATGCTGTATTTGTTTGCCTGTGTGCAAAATGTCTGTGTGTCCACCTTGTAGAACGCCTGCAGCATTTTCTCTTTCCCCAAGATGACCAGCGCAATTTCTCCCTCTGCTCCAAAGCAGAGTGTCTCTGGGCAAAGACTTTATCTCTAAGATCCTCAACCTATATGAAACAGACAGAAGGGTGGAGATGATATTTTCTTCACCAGTGAAATTAAAGTGCTCCTGTCCACAGGAATGAGACACTACCTGCTCCTCTTCACGGTCCCACTCTCTGTCTGTCTCGCTCTCCACAAAAGACTGGGTGTCAACCACCCGCCAACTGCAAAAAAGAAACTCAATTCCTAATCAATAAATACATTTATATGCATTGTCAAGTACTGTCAAACTGACAAGCGTTTGACCGTTCGTTTTCAAGAAACACTGCAATTTCTTTCAAGTCACTTTTGTCCCATACCTAGGTGTCAGGATGTCTTTGTACTGCAGCTTTTCCACTTTAGCCAGAGACATGGGCATGACAATGTTGTTGATGTTGTACACACTCTCGCCCTGGCGTTTGCGAACAAAGCCCTAAAAGGGAACGTGGCCAAGATGAAGAAAAGAGCAGAGTGGCAGTTCACACCAATGATTCACACATTCAAGTCCTTCTACATCATCAGGTTTCCACCATAAAGGTTTTCTGCAGACTGACCAGCTCTCTCACATTCAATATACTGTATACATATGCAAGTGATGCATGGAGTGTATGGTGCACACCACTGTGCTGGAAGTAAATATATAATTTCTTACATTTCACTTAAGTCAAACACTAAATCTTGTGACCCCTAGTAACACTTATCATTGAGAGGTGAAGTTAGTATTAGTGAAGTTAGGACTTTTACTTCCCACTGTAATTTAAAGCTGATTTTACTTATGGGTTTAAATACTACTGTGTACAATTATACAGCTCTATTGATAACTCATCAAACCACCACACCGGTCTGAAATGTGACCCTTCATCCCATATGTCACTTACGTAACTTAACAAGCACACTCAGTGGTCATGTATGACACAAACATCTGATGCTAAATATACTAATGACCCATTATTACAATTTCCTAACAGATGATAGATACTGTATGTGCATTTATCCAAGCATGTATTTCATGTAGCTCAAGTAGTATAGTAATAAAAATGTGCAAATGTGTGTTTGTTACCCGAGAGGCCTGTTTGCATGGAACCTGTGTGTAGCTCTCCTCCAGCACTTCATCTGAACTGTCCTCTAGGTCACAGAACTGGTATAGGATGTCCTCCTCGTCTAGGTATTCACACATAGTGACTTCAGAAACCATTCACACCCCTTCACTTTTCACACATTTTTTGTGTTAAAACAAACTTCTGAAAAATCGGTGGGGAGACATTACATTCAAATTTGGAAGTGCAACACTATTACACAACTTAAAATCTGATGGCATAAAGTAGCTGTTACACAAAGTGCCACTGATCATGTACTACTTTGATATAATGATACCCAATCTCAACCTGAACTCAGCTCAGTCTTGATCTCTTATAACATGAGCCCCATCACTAATCCTAATGAAACCAAAATGATCCATATCCCTGGTAAACCTTCTCTGACGCTCCATCTAACTCTTAGACACACAGTACCCACATGGCATCACAGTATTTTGCACATTAAACAATGTTTAGTGCTCACTACACATTGTCCTCAGGTGACTGATCAATGATTCATTTAGCATAGTGACTCACAGCTGCACACCTGTCATTTTAGGATTTATGTTTTGAACATTGTTCATTGCTGTGTTAACACTTAACACTTCACAAAACTAGTGACAAACTAGGATTGGAAGCCTCTGATTTTAATACAGCTATCTGATAAAAACTAACTTGGTGGACACCTAGTATGATACACAGTATAACAACCATACCTTCTATCAGCCTGTGGATGCGTCTTCTCTTCCTCTTCATCTGATTGACTCTCCTGTGCTGAATCTGAGCAGAGCTTGCTATCCTGATAGGCGACAGGCCCATTACTCTTCTTTTATGATGCCTTGTATGCTGTTTGATTTTGTGGCCTATAGCAATACACACACACACACACACACACACCAGCTGAGTTTATACACCACAGGAATTTCCTTTCCTGCCAACATTCCCTTTTATTTCCTCAGTCATTTTACACTTTGGTTAAAGTATACAAAAGCAAATCCTAAACTATTAGGCTTGTCATTTTGGCAGATAACTGCCTCTCAGCTTTCTGATCAGAAATCACCAACCAAATGTAAAAATGTTCACATTCATTACATCCATCCATCCATCCATTTTCTACCGCTTATCCGGGACCGGGTCGCAGGGGCAGCAGTCTAAGCAAAGATGCCCAGACTTCCCTCTCTCGAGAGCTCCTCCGGGGGAATGCCG